CTGTCCACACCCTAAAGTGGCATAAATGTCTTCTAAGTGCCTTAAAGTAGGTCCTTAGTGTAAATGAGAACCAACCCTGTCGTTTGCAAAATGGCTTTGAAAACATCACCCGGGTGCATCCTATAAATGAATGTGGGTTTTTTGGAAGAACACCCATCCCAAGGTAAGCCCACGCTATACATAGCCTCTGATGAGCTCAGCATGGGACGAGGAGCAGGCAGCAGAAGGCAGAGCAACAAGACACCTGAAACAGCGAGCAGGGAGAGCCCTGCATCCTGCTGATCCCAGAGGATTACCAGCAAAGTGAGAAAAAAAAAAAAAAAAAAAAAAAAATCAAATTTTGCTCCTACCTCTTTGAGTTGCTCTGAGTCTTCACTTACCTGATTTGCACAGCTGCTGTACGGAAAGCTTTGTCTGCAGCATTGCTCGCACACATCACTCCCGATAACACCATTTTTGTTGTTGTTGCCAAGCTTAGGGTAAAGCACATGGCTTGGACCAGGCAGAGACAACAGTTGGAAAAACCAAAGAGCCAGAACCAAAGGGATGAAAGCTAACACGAAGGACGGGAAGATCAGCCTTAAATTTTGGATGTTATCTTGTTTTTCTCCCTGTGCCAACCCAGACCTAAATTTTGCAATGATATTTTGAGACAGTTTGTGGCACTAGCAAATAGGAAATCAAATAAGTGTTGCAATTAATCGAGTGGTCTAAGCAGCCTCAGCATGACCGTGAGCATTAGTCTCAATACCCTTCTCCGCTTACTTCTAAGCTCATTAAAATCTTCTCCAATATTTTCAGCAAGGGAGATATCCTTGCCAGCAGCGAGAGGTGGGGGAGAGCAGGCACAAACTGGGCATGAGCAAGTTCAAATGAGCAGTTTATAACTGGTGAGCATGCAATAGCCATGAATCTCTCTGCAGAAATCATTGGCAGCTCAATACCCGCGTTACCACGTCAGTCCTGGGTTTGGGTTTTACAAGCAAATACCGTCCAACCATAACCGTACCAGACCAGCCTTGGAATAACGCAAACATCTCTTCATTTTATGTTGAGCTTGTCGTATACGTAATGGAAAAGATAAAATTTCATGGCTGCCTTGTCAATCAGGATTCCCTCCCGTGGCTCAGTCTGCATTTTTGGTCAAAAGCCATATGGTGCTCATTGCCTGGAGGCCGAGTTGTAAACCTCCTTGTCCCGTTGCTCCTTTAACCAAGATGGTGTTGAATTACCATGAAACAACTTGGTTTGATTTGTGATGCTGTCAGCAAGTATGAACTTGGAGAAAATTTTAAGGGGAATTAAAAAAAAAAAACAAAACAAAAACACACAAAAAAACCCAACAAAAAGGTATACATTTCCCTTCAAAAAAACAAGGGCACATTTAACAACAGCCTAGTCAGATGAGGAGGAGTTCATCTCAATCGCATTTTGCACCACTACTTCATAAAACACTTTTTCCAACCCATTAATCTACTTCAGCCCTCGTATTGCAGGGGCTTAAGAGACAGACACTGATTTTTCCCTCACTCTCAGGACGTTTCAGGAAAAGATACATCTTATTCTTGATGGGGTGAAGGTTGACTTTTAACGCTTCGGACCTGGGCAGTTCTATTTTTTGTTTGTGGAACAGACTCTGCACATCCTGATCTCACTGGGGCTCTCCAGGGGATACTCTAGTCCCCAGGAGTAATCCCAAATAGCACTTCTAAATACAACCCCAGCTCTGGCTGAGCATTAACGACAAGGGAAGCATTCATTCTGGGAAGGTTTTATTTCACAAATAATTCAGAAATTAAAAGAAAATTGGGGGGAGGGGGAGATATTTTACAATTCTGTATTTAGAAAAAAAAATTATAGTTTATAAACAAACACACAGCCCCTTGAAAAACATGCAAAGGCACACAAAAATTTACAAGAAACTTTTATACATAGGAAGTAAAATACATCATTTTTCATAGAAAAAAAAAAAAAAAAAAAGCAACTCTATGAACTGGCCCTAAATATTTAGACTGCACAACCGACCAACTGGGGACTCCTCAATCAGCTGTTGGCTGAACATCTTAAAATGAAAAAAATTAATGGAGCCAACAGACCCGACAGCACACGGGCAGCTGGGGAAGCTCCATGCTTCAGCTTTCACACTGGTTGTGTTTTCTAGAGATTCGGCTATGCTGAGCCAGGTGCTCTGCAACGGCAGCGTCTGCACCGGCAGGCTTGGTTTCAACAATAAATTTATTGGGAAAGAACAGCCAGGCAGCATCAGCTTTGCCAAGGGTTTAACCAAACGCTTCAGCAAGGCTACACTCAGGTGCTTCAGGTTGGCATGTGGTTACTAATCTGCTGAGCTGGGGTCTAAGCAGAAAGGGATCTGGTGAAATAAAGATGTGCTGCGTCTTCCAGCTGCACTGAAATACATTAGGCTGAGAAATGTTTTGGCATCAGAAATAAAATCGGCAAATATTTGGCTAAAAACTGGTACTGTCCCACCGATATATGAATAGCTAGCACACATGATTGCGAGTACTTGATGTATCATGCCTTGGAGGACCTGATCACCCCTAAATCTGGTGGAGGTACGTTTAAATTAATAGCACCCAGGACCTCGAATAATATTTGTGTAGTAAAGTCACAATTTCTCTTTTGTACAACAAATACAAAAATAAACAGATACAGACTTAAATTAACATCAGTTTCTAAAAATCCAAACCAGTTGGCTGAAGATAAAAATACGCAATTGTAACTTGAATTAAACATTTTAGGATATTTCTGTTGGAATAATCATTCTTCCCTCGCTCCCTCTTCGTCAGGTACATACATCCCAAGCTGCTTGGAATTTTATGTGCTCGGGATAATCCCCCGGACTTTCCTCCAAGAGCCCTCACAATTTTTTCCATCATTTTACAGGTAATTATCCCGGACAGCCTATTAGAGGTGGGATCCTACGTTAGCATCGAGGCATTTTATGTGCTCTTGCAGTCCCCATACCTGATGGCATCTCTTACACTTTCCAATTCAGTAAATAGCACTGTGGCTACTGTTGGCCCATGATGGTCATAGATTCATGCTGCAGTATTTAATGGGCTTGAACCAGACCATGTATTGCATAATTATTCACAGCGGGCAGAGACAGGGAAGCCTTATCTCACTGCCAAGATCTCTAGCACTTCCAACCAGCAGCTTTTCTAAGATTTGTTCCAGCCGTTTTTAATATCAATTTAGTAAGAAAAAAAAAAAAAAAAGTCATTCCGTTTTCCTATCTAAAGCAAATACTGTACACCTTGAAAGACAATACTATATCAACAACAACGACACAGAGTCATTTCTCTCTGACCACCCCAAAGGCAGGTTTGCGGTGCAGCACTTTTGGAGACCACGCAAAGCGGCTCCAATTTCCTATTTTACAAAAGCTCTCTTACCAAATTCAGATCTCTCAGAGAAAGAAGCCCCATGGGTGGGACAGACTGAGTGACACAAGTTACTTGCTTGATGATTTCGTGGTGTTTACAGAAGTTTAAAAGTGCTTAAGCATATAAACATCTTTGGTCGGAGTTTTGAAACAGCCTGAAGAGATGGCTTTTGTATCTGTCTAGACTAAACCAAACATAGGCCGAGCATAAGAGCATCTAGGAGACATCTGCCAATTTGAGGGAAATATTTTCCCATTTGTTACACAATATTACAACCAAGTTATTGAGCAGAAGGACTGTAAGAAACAAAGAACTAGTTTACGTTGCCTTCTCATGACTAATGAAGTTACGGGATGCGTGTGCATCAAAAGACAACCAGATTTGTGTTTAGACCAGTTCTGAAAGTTCACTTCCAATATAAAGCAGAGACTACTCTCCTGCCTTAAAAGACCTGGCCACGCTAGGCTCTTCTCTTGGCTTTGAAATGCATTTGGATGCACGTTGAGACATAAATAACAAAATATTAAACCAACATCATTACAACACCTGTGCATTTTGTGGGAAATACCATCCGGGATAACAAATGCTCACGGGTACAGCATTTACACTGCAAGTGGGGGATCTGTTAGTGTTCCAAATCGAACAGGAAAAAATTTGTCTGACCCCAATTTATGCCACAGCTTTAAAGCCTCCGAACTACACACACCAAAGGGCTTCATAAAGGTGAATAGGTTTCCTACGGATGCAATCATTCCTAGCAGAAATAAGATTAACTTTATCACTACTTAACTACTATAGATAAAACAACCAGCACTGCTGTATGAAACAATACACTGCATTTAACTGAATTTTTATTTGAAATGGCATGTAGTATAGGATGAGATGTGCCAGCACAGGAGTCCTGACTCACGGACTTCTCATAGGTTGCAAAATACCTGTGAATGTTTGACCAGCAAACACTAAACCTGCGGTTTTGATTATCTGGTGGCCTCATTTTCTGCAGCAAGGATCTCTGCCACCATTTCACACCCTACTCCAATCCCCAAAAAGCCCAACAAGAACATCCCCTCCCAAACGCGACACCATCACACCACGTAGCCCAGCATGATGCCCCAGCAGCCTTACACAGCAGTGCCACCTTGTTGGGAAAAGACCACAATTTCTCTTCTTTTTCACAGAAAACATCAAACATAGACAAAACCACTCTAGCAAAGCCCAGCCTCTCCCCCAAAGATGCAACTTTTTAGAACAGTTTCTCATTTCAAAGGGTCCAGTGCCTGGACAGTCGCTCACTTCTGAGTCTGCTCGGCAGTGCACGTCCTCACGCCCATGCTTCACACCCTAAAAAATGCCATCCAGGGCCAGGCCGAGATCCCTACATCTGCTGTACATTGAGCCACCGCCGTTCTGTGTAGCACACCTCTCCCATAAATTGAAAGTTAGAACAGTTTATCATTGCTGAATGCCCCTAGAGAAACAAAAACACGAAACGAAAAGATACAACGCTGAACGGGTGCGATGAGATGCGAACAGCTGAGTCAGAACCTGGTGTCTTTTTTTTTTTTTTTTTTTTTTTTTTTTTTTTTCTCCTTTTTTTCCCTTTTTTAATTCCCTGAAAGAGATCGGCAAGGAGGGTACAGTCAGAGCTGATGCTGTCAGAGGAGCCTTCCTGTCTCTGGACATCAACAGAGCATGCTCCCAAAGAAACCTGCACCTTCCCTGGGAATTTACGGCTTCACAGCAAAAATTCGGAAAGCGTTTCCATCTGAAGGATTCTTCAAGCTGAAGAAAAAAAAAAGAAAGAGAAAAAAAAATAATTTAATGAACCAAACACAGTCACTGCAGAATCTAAATTGCAAGAGACCTACAGGCAATTTTCTTTGGAGTGCGTTGCTTCAGCACATTGACTCTGGGCTGACGATGCCCTACCAGGAGCAGGACAAAGCCAAAGGATGAAAAAGAAGAGGCACAAATCCACTTGTTCACCTTTGGTTTAAGTTTCTGATCCAGATCTACAGTGCTAATGCCAATACGAGGAGCTGGGAAGCAGCAGCCTCTCCTATTGTGCTAGCTTTCATCCAAGGAACACTGGGCTCCTTCATGCAGAGGTTCAGGCATGAAGAGGAACGTTTTCCTAAAAAACAGTTGTCAAAGAGGCTGGCAGGTTCCCAGGGCCTGTCTGGCCTCTCTCCTGGTGCTAGTGAGGGGTGTAGCCAGATCAGCTCAGGCTAAATGACAGGAACTATGGATGTTCCTTTCAATCTCCCCAAGAGCTCCGACTCCCAGCTGCTGGGGGTGGCTGTGTGCACGGGGGGGGCAAGGGGTGATTTTGTTTTCCAGCCCTTATTTCTTCAGTCCTGCCAGGCTGCAAAACCGTAGGAAAAAATGCAAAAATTTCATATTCCTACAAAATAAACATTCCAACAAGGGTAAAGTCTCAGTAAATCTTAAAGGCAACCTTTCCCCAAACCTTTTTTGGGTATGTATCTTTACCAAAGGTTATTTCCAGTGTCCTAAAGGGTAAGGTTTTCACGCTGATGTTTGAAAAGTTATTTCTCTGTCCATCTCACAGCACGCAGGTGCTCCTTATTGCTAAGTGTAAATAACACTTTCTAAATCTTCACGCTCATCCCTGCTTGCAAGAACGTCTTTGGTTTCCCTCACCTCCCAGAAGAGCACCTGGTGCTCATATTGCATGTCACTGCTAGTGGTAGAGTTTATTCTTAGCTAGGGCAGAGTTTGCCATCCAAGGAAAAAGTTGTCTGTTAGGATAAAAGATAAGTGAAAGCAAGGCAGAGAAGAAAACTCACACTAGCAGGAGGTTTGTGACCTAAATCCGATCTACCAAGCTGCAAATCACACAACTACAAAATGTTGACCCTGATAGAGCTATACTAAAAAAAAAAAAAGCCCATATTTAATGCCTGTAGCTTTCCTGTCTTAGTCTATTTTTATTTTCCGAGATGCTCTACAGCACTCTGGGATGTCTATTATTAGAATAAAACCAGCAAACTTGTTTGGATTTCTTATGGTTATTATAAAAGAGGAACTGCATAGAGCAGACAGAGCCACATTAGCAGTGAGAGAAGCACCCCATAATAGCAGGAAATTCTATGTTTGCAAAGATAGCTCTGAGAAATCAGTACCATCCCACCAATATCTGAAAAAAAAAAACAAAAAACTTCTGTTTGAGTCTGTGATTTGTTTTAAAATTAGAAAGGACTGAGAGAGCTGCGACTCGATCACTGCGACCATCCAGAGGTGCAGGATTTTGGAAGCACTGATTTGCAATCGTTCACTGAAACCAGCAAGGTTGGCCCAAAAGAAACTATAAAAAAAAATTACAAGGGTGGAAAATCCATCTTTAAGAGCTGATCAGAGGTCAATTTACTCATGCTTCTCTCAAAGAGAATAGAGGAAATTAGATAACAAGTACGAATGCAAACGCATCCCACACCCCAGAACTGAACGGAAATCCCAATTCTAAGCCTCAAAGCATGACCCAGGCTGAAAGCTGCAGAAACAACCATGCTTAACTTCTAATGTGATAAACACACACCCCAAAACATTCATATGGATTCACACCGCGATAAAACAAAGCTTAATAACAATATTTCGTACCGCTCAGGCCAATCTGAAAGCAGCTCCTCACTTGGGGAAGGTAAGAGTAGGACAACACGCTCTATTTGTTTGGGTCTCAAAATTCACAGTGACACTGTTAAGTCACATATTTCTAATCCACCAGCTTTTCTAGCTGATATCTGCTGACTTTGACACAAACCTGAACACACAGTTGAGAACAAGAGGACAGTACAAAGAAAAAAAAATAAATCCCACCTCTCAGACTGAACTCCATTCTTTAAGGAGCCAACGTAAATTTTCTTCTTTTCTACAGGCATCACGTCCACAAAACCACCACTTTCATCTGGAAGGACTCCTGCATGCACTGCAGTTTTGCAGATACTGGAGCTCTGAAAAATAGTTAATTAAATATTTAATTATTTTGTTTTACAAACTGCCTATGGTTTATATCTGGAGATTTACCATCTCCATAAGCATCAAGGAAAACCGGGGAATTGGAGGAAAACAAAAATAAAATAAAGAGTGAAAAAGCTGTGAAACAATTCTGTCCTCCTTATGGACAGACCAGGGTTAAAAGATGTCATGAACCAGATCTTGCAGGTTTGTCGTAAGCCCCAGCTGTGAGAAGATCCACCACCTCTGCAGAGGACAAGAAGCCCTTCCACCACTCCCGTCTGCAGCAGAGCTCTGCCTGGGAGACTATCCAGGGCCAAAGCTGAACCAAGGACAACTTTCCAGCCAGTGCCTCTTGGGTCTGCACCAGAGAAACCGCTGTGGTGAAGCTCTTTGCTCGTGACCAGCCACCTCAGCAAAGTTTATTCACCCAGTTACTTGAAAAACAGACGTTTTCCCTGAATTAAGGTAAATGACCACCGTTCATCCAGGACAGTTCACGTCCTTCTTTCTAGGAAAAGCAGGAGGACTGCATCCGTTGAGTAGTGTGGTTTTTGGACAGGCATTACCCCGTAAGACAACACCAAATACGGAGGGAGATTAACACTTCTAAAAAGACTAAAGTTTCCCTATTGCACGTTGTGCCGTTACCCTGCGCTCCAAGATGTGCAGAGTCAGAAGAGCTGGAGGAACACAAAGCACTAACAACCGATGACTAAGCTCCCAAAGCATCCAGAAACGAGAGCAAAAGCAGAAAGGGCTTAGGCATAGTATAAACTTGGCCATCAGCTCTCTAGAAAAAAAAAAAAAAAAAAAAGAAAAAGCAAAAACCAGCTTCGCAGAGGGAACTGCCAGCAGGTGAAAATCCCAACCCCGTAAACTCCCCCGATCGCTAACAATCAAAGCGCCACAAAACCAGAGCCAAGGGCAAGTATTCTCACCGCGTACGTACGATACGGAGCGTGCTGTTTCATTCTCGCAGCCATATATGGGAGGTTTGCCTTGTCCCCTATATATTTATCACTTTGGATGGCCTATCTCTTGGCAGCTCTCGGAGTTTCGCGTGCCAGTTTGGTATTTTGCTACTATATATGGTCAAGGGAGCAAGGGAACGTTGCCTTCGGAAGACGTGCTGTGAGTTTGCCCGAGTATGCGGTGGGAAATCTGTAAATCTAAAATCGGCTCATAAAATTAAGCTGTCCTGAATCAATTTGCAACATTCTCCACTGGGAGACATCCTAAACAATGTTCTTTTCAAGGCATTCCTGTTTGGTTTTTGGTTGTTTGGTTTTGTTGTTTTTTTTTTTTTTCCAGGACTTGCTGTTCTGCCGCTTACTCAAAGCTTCGACCAACAGACTTTTTATTGTCTTAGCCCAAACCTCCTCTTATCACTCTGTTGGATTACAGCCCTCATCCATCCCAGGCCAGGCTTCACTTTGATGAATTGATCACAGAGCTTTTGGAAGATGATACTTTAGGAGAATAAAGCCTTCCCCTCAAGTTCTGAAGTACAACAGCTGTACAGGCAACGCAAATGGCTCTCCACGGCGTAACCCCTTGGGGTGCCCGGGAGCATTTCCTAACAGAGGGGACTCTGAGGCACGCACCATAAAACGACTGTAGTTTTTATAGTGGGCTATTAGCAATAATCCATGACTATGAGTTTAATCGCCCATAATTTCCTCATTAGTGTGACTGGTTTAATCATTAAGTTTGTATCTCCTGAGAGCAGAGCAAAGCAAGTTGGGTGGCTGTGGTGACAAACGCCTGCCTCCTTATACACGTGGTCGATCCTCCTCCAACTAACCGCTGCACCCCATAGCTGTGGGTAAAAGACCTTATCTCAAGAGCAGAGAGTTGTTTTCTCTCCCGGCTCCCGAGCAGGGATGGGGATGGGGTTTCCCTCGCAGTCTTGTGTCACACTAGGAGCCCTGCAGTGACAAATGTCAGCGTCTTCTGAAACTTGGAAGCTCTTTTACAGCCTTGACAAAGACCCCTGGATGTTCACACAACTCCACTGTCACCCCAGAACTGGCCCTGCACACATTAACAAGAGCTGAGTTCCAGTTCCTAGGCACAATCATGAGTTCATAGAAATTTAATTTTTTTTTTTCCCCATTTACATGGCAGTGTAAAGAACTTCACTGTAATGTGCCACCAGGGAGAAGAGGCAACAAATTTTCTGTTCCCCAGCCAGCTGCTTCTTGCTACTAATTTCAGCACCGGGAAGGTGTTGGATAAGTTCCCCCCGTGTCCCCACGTGACACTTCAATCTGCAAACCCTGCATGCAGGCAGCAAGTCTCTCACCGCACAGTAATGCCATGCAGTGGGAAAACCTGGGATTTGGCCATCAATTTTTCCCATAGCATATTTTCTTGTATTTTATTCATTCACCCCAGAATTTAAGGCTCCTCTATGTCCCTGTTCCACAGTCTTACTAATTGCACCAGGAACAATTTCCTGCACTGATTTTTCAAGCAAAGGCTGCCAATATCTCTTTGTACTTTAAGCCACCAGGAGTACCCAGGAGATAATCTTATAAACACACAATCCAAGATAATTTTATAAAAAAAAAAAAAAAAAAAAAAAAAAACAAACCACAAAAAAACCCACCACACTGATGCATTTAAAGTGGGTAAAAACCCCTTAAACTGAGATAGTGGCGCCTATTCCACCGAGATAACAACCAGACTCATCTCATAAAAAATGCCAGTTCTTCATGTTACAGCTTTGTTCTGCGTGGCAAAACAAATTTTCACGTGCCCTCCTGGGATCGTGTACACGTGAACGCTGTCTCAAGCCAAAAGCACCGTGAATCAGGTCGTTACACAGACTAGCCAAGAGTTTTTCCTCATCACAGCCTGGATTATCAACTCCTTGCCTGCCAGAGCATTTAGCAAATGGATGTTTTGGAGAAGGTACTAAAAGGCCAAAGGGCACCTTGCGGGGAGCACAGACTGGAAATGAGGCAAAACGCTTCGTTTTCTTGGAGATAACTTATTTAAGACGACAGAGTTGGAGCACAATTCCCCCCAGGGCAATGGAGGTGCCACTCTAGAGATGGAGCCAAAGAGCCCTCCCAGAAGACCAGTACTTGTCTCATCCAGCCTTCTGCCTGCTTTGATTATTCCTCGGCCACGGGCTTGGGTTAATTCACAGCATCCCCTCCTGGAGAGCATCCTGCACAGCCCGTGCCCAGTTCTCCCTGTCACCTTTCCAGCCCCAGCATTTCTCAGCATCAACCCCTCTCCCTTTGTAGCGTGTTTCACGGCTGCCTCAAACTTTTTTCCCCGAGCTGGTTTCACCTGCTTTTCCACCAGCTCACACTCTCAATAAAAACCTAACTGCTTTCCTTATTACACCCACACCACCCTGTAAGTACAGTAGTCCAGAAGAAGGTTAAGTAAACCCTCTCAGAAGTGGGCAAGTACTTTTTTTCCCCCCCCCAATTTTATTTCTTTCCCAAATCACAGTCCGTGGCCCCGTTTATGAAACGCTACCCAGGGGGTACAGTAGGAAATGGAGTTTGTGATTCATTAAAGGACACTGATCCTTTTGCTTCAGTCCCAATCAGGACACAATGCCAGCCTGGGATGCTGGTCCTCACCTAATACCCTTGTAATCTCAGGCCCTGTTCGGGGGAAATCCGAGGTAGTTTTGCCCTCATTAAATGAGAGAAAACTATTTCCCGTTTCCTGCAGGTTGGAGCATGCACAGAAGCAGGTGTAGGGTGGCAGCTGCCTGATGAATTTGCATGTGAGCTAGTCTAAGCTAACCTGTTTGTGCAGCTCTACCTTTAAAAAAAAAAAAAAAAAGTAGTCTCAAGTAAAATAAAAAAATTGGAATTTTTTTATAAATTGCTTTCAGAATTGCTTGCTCCAAATTGTTGTATGATTTCTGCAGGATGTTTTTTCTCAGGAGTGTCCAAAGCTCCACAGTGATCCCAAATTGCAGGTTGACAGTCTGCCAGCTCCTTCCCCCAGGCCTTCAAAAAGCACGTTTTTACAGGCTACACACCAGCCAGGGAGCTGGCATTTCTAAACACAATCGCTAATGGAAAAAGAGAAAAAAGAAAAAAAAAAAAAAGAGAGAGAAGAGAAAAGGGAAAAAGAGAGAAGAGAAAAGGGGAAAAAAGAGAAGAGAAAAGGGGAAAAAAGAGAAGAGAAAAGGGGAAAAAAAGAGAAGAGAAAAGGGGAAAAAAAGAGAAGAGAAAAGGGGAAAAAAAGAGAAGAGAAAAGGG